TGGACTGAGGTCACCAGTTTCACCGGCAGGCCTGGACCCGACCTTGAGCAGACCATCAGACTCTCAGCAGCCTGTGGCCGTCACTGTCAGCAGACACCTTGGCTAGGATTGACTGACCATCCAGAAATTTTTTCATTGTTATAAAACCATTGTTCCATGTATTTTGCGTGGGCTAAGCCTAATGACCAGGTTTCCCTGCATTTGGCATGAAGTCTCATGCCCAGGTGTAGGACTGACTTTGGTGTATTTCAACAAAGCCTTGCCCATTAATGCACCTGTGGCCTCTGATGCTTTGTGTTATTGCATAGTACTAGTAGCTGCCAAAAGACCTTCATTTATATGGGTTTCGGACATTACAGAGCAAACATAACTAATTCCTTCCTCTCGGAAATGCTCTGTGCATTCTCTATCTTGGGTTCGCTGTGAGTGGGTGGCTCTGCGAATTGTGGTCCAGTAAAAAGTTCCTTTTCTAAGAAACTTGGACAAACACTGCCATAACGCAGTAGCCCCCACTTTTAGAGCAAACGAAAATTGTGCCTTCCATCAGATTTATCAACAAGGTAATAAGAAACTTTCATGCATTACCCAAATAACCTGAACTGGTCAGGCTGTCTTACCCTGAACTGGTCAGGCTGTCTTACCCTGAACTGGTCAGGTAGTCTTACCTCCTGTAATGAATAAGAATGACAAATTGGAGGTCCACATAGACCCTGTATAGCTGCTGCATTCCGGTGCATTCTGTTCATAATTGAACCAAGAACAGGTACAACCTGTTTATTTTTAAGGTAAATTTCACTGAGCTGGTTATTTTAGTACTGATGGATCACATTTTCTGGGACAGCTATCTATAGCACGTGGATCAACAGAGAGGTCTTTTCCTGTCAGAAATAACATTTCCTGTATGCTATTCTGTATCTCAGAGAAGGATTAACAAATAAATCCCAGGATGAAATGACACTTAAAAGAATGAAAAGGAAAGAATAAACTGCTTTTTTCCCTAGGCTAGCATTGGTATGGTCGGTAAACAAAGAAAGGGGCAAGATAAGACCACGATAATCTGGTAGGCAGATAAAAGCATGTTTCAACCATACATTTGACGGTGATTCCAGCCATAGGGACAACCCTGAGGTGATGCAAATCATAGATAAGTCAATGATTCAAACCATAGGTGGAACCATGATTCATACCATGGACGAGTCAGTGATTCAATTAAGCTCTACAATGATAGCCTTTCCCATAGATAGCACCATGATTAAATATAGTTAGTACAGTGATTCAACCATGGACCCTTTTGATTCAACACCGGACCATGTGATTCAACCCATCAGTCGGACCCTGTCTTTGACCAAGTTACTGAAGTGTCTTCCTCTTGAAGAGACATGGCTGCTATCTCTTTGGGTGGCGGGTGGGTGGAAGTGTTGCCTCTATAAATCACCAGGATGGACTTGTCCTGGTAAGGTGACCAAGGACACTCAACCAATGCTGTAGACAAGTCTCTGCCTGTGATAACACTGTATGTCCACCCCTAGTGCCATCTAGTAATATGACTGCTGCTCTTCCAACTTATCCTGTCCTTGAATGCCTGGAGACCGAGGGTCTGTCCCAGATCCTTCACACTAGGTTGTCCTCCCCAGATGACCACTGATACCCAACAAACCATAGCCTTTACCACAGAGCATCGAGTTACTGTTAGAAACAGCAGAGCTAACTAATTAAACCATGACATGGCAAAAAAACCACTGGGGACAAATTAAAAGTTCTGTTTCCATGGTTGCAGACTGGCAAGACACATGTTATTTTCCTCTGCAAAAGCATATATGTAAGTTTTACTGAGAGACTGTTATTATTTTGCTTCAACTCAGAATGCCCTGTGGTAATTTTTAAGTGGAAATGCGATATAGTGTTACAGTCATATGTATTGTCCCTTGAACTGATAGCTAAATTTGTACATGCATTGAGGCAGGGTTTTTTGGTTGTTTTGAAACAAAAACTCTAAATTTCATCCCAATACATGTATATCAAAGCCCGTCCTGTGACATGTCTTTCACTTTGTGCACATGGTTTTCCCCCCATGAAACACACATAAATAGGGCAGGAAGCTTGGGATAAAATGGATTGTAATGCATCTTGTTTTGGTTGTTGGACCTTTTCCTGCCCACACCATGCTGGCATTTCTGTTTTACAGGATTTTTTGGTCTTTTCTCGGAAAGTGAGGTGGGCCAACCCAGTGAGGCGTGATTTTGGTTTCACCAGGGACATGGGCAGAGAGAAAGATGAATAAACACATTTTGCCCCCGTTTTTCAGAATGACACTGAAACCGGATAAATACATGTACGTGAACCTTGAATGGGGTTATGAATTTTCATCCCACTCGGAATTTCAAAAAAATAATTCAGAGGTCATCGTTCCTTTTAGCTGCCCTGTACAAATATTAGTTAGTTATCATGGTGATTTTTTCTCCTGCGAAGCACATGTACAAAGCGCTGCCTAAATACCTACCCATGCCTTCCGGTATATCCTCCCCCTCTCAGTTTTGAAATTTTTCAAATTAACAAGACCCAGCCACTTTCTACAGAGATGAGGAAAGTCACAGAACACAGAAGATATTATACTCGTATATGTACATGGAGGATTTGGAAACTCAATGTCTGTAAGTACCAATATTAGGCTTTCCACATGTGGCATGTGGAGAAAAGGTTGTCCTTTCAAGGTGAGCTTAACTGCAGGGCCCCTCCCTTCCAAGTATTCACCTAGAAAAGGGCCTTACTTCACCCCTCCCCAGGCAATTAGCCTTAGGGTCCTTGAGCCAAAAAAGCCTTGGGCTTGTGTGCATAATGCCTACCCGTAATCCATATGTTATGCAAGTTGCTCTATTTGCCTCTCTGGTAAGTACCCGTAGCTCACAGTCCTACATGTATGGTATGACCATATGGCCTTGCTGTCCAGACTTATTGTGACCATAATGATTAGTTGCTGTCTGGCCTGAGCTGTTTGACCAGCTCAAGGCCGACTGACCGTGAGTAACAGACTGGACATTATAATAGTCCCTGGATCCTACCACTAGGTAAAAAAGGGGGAGGGTCCTCAAACCTGAGGGACTTAATGGTTTCTTTGGAAAGAGGCAGCAGGGAAATATCATTGGTTACTGTGGCAACAGGATCACCCATTGGACCTTGCGTCCGGGTGGATCTACCAACCTTTGGACTGGCGCCTGTTACCTAGGAGGAAATGCACAAGTCACCACTGTGTGGTTACATTTTGTAGTCCAGAGCTATATTATTCAAAGTGCCAAGTATGTAAATGCCATTTTTGAGTTAATGAATTTGTGATGCACAGGCCAGGGTCTCTGCAGTCACTTGTGACTTTGTTCAGAACGCCAACTGTTGAAGCTGAGACTTCCCATTCCTTCTTCAATGTGTACATTTACATGTAGTCAAGTCTAGTTGCAAAAGTGATTCATCATTGGAGGGGAATAAAATCTTGGCACATCCTCCCAGGAATCCTTTTCTCCCCTCTAACCAAAAATCAGCCCCTCCGGCATAGCCAAGGACTACCCCCAGACCTTCTCTGTTCTCCGATTCCCTAAAAAAAAAAATTAACAGGAGACCTTCATTTGTCTAACTGTTATTAAAACTCAGATATCCAGGCACCTGGTGACATTGATTGGTTACAGCAGAGAGTCATTGACACTGTTTGCTGGTCAATAACAAATTCCCTGACCAGTCTGAAGGCCGAAAACTAGAATTCACAGAAAGTCCGCTTGTGTGGTGTTCATATATTTCATATTCTTTGGCCAATTTGCATGTAATGCTTAGGGGAAAGATGAAAAAGGAATTAAACATTTGATGAAAAAATTACAAGAGAAAAGTTAGGAGAGACAAATGTCACAGAAACACATTCAAACATTTGTGACTCGCTCCAGGAAAAGGTGATACAAGTTGAAAAAAACAAAAACAAAAAAAAAACCAATCAACCGAGTTATATACGTGACTGGGAAGCCCACATTGTGAGCGGGTCACATTTTTGGTCAGTCGTCAAAAGAAGATTCTCATTTCAACTGTGAATTACAAAAACTTAAAGTTGTGAGACGAAATAAACTGAGATACACTCATCATATCCAATGGCTTTTTTAGGCTAGAGATATTAATTCTATAATCTGTACAAGGAAATAATCTTACTTCACCAAATCATTTTTCATCAAACACAGTTAAATAATCAATGCTCATACATGTAGGCCTAACCCCTTAAATGAAATTGACATGTGACTGAATTAAATAGTGTGCTCTGTACTCCTGTACTGGTACCCTTTAGTCTGTGAAATCACAGTTTAGGTTGAGAGAATCGTCCTGCATTGGTCTTTTTTTTATACACGTACCTCAGTTTTGGGCAATAATGTGATTGCTGTACCTTGGACCGCAATTTGATGAAACATAATTTACATGAATTCCACCACAATAAGGGTAACAGTGCTAACCAATTGGATAGCATTGATTGAGACAAAGGGTTGCCATGTTGCGCATGAATGTATCCTAGTGTGCTATCAAGGTTGTGCCCCTGTCAGTGAGGCTTGTTTACTGACGCCGCCTTGTTGTCACAGGCTCCGTAGGACTTGTGTTCCACATCAGTCGTTCCAATAAATGTCTGCTCCCTCTCTTGTGTACGTTATGATGAGGAACATCCTGTTTGCATTTTCAAAAAATGCAGGTGGGGGAATTTCCCCTCATCGTAGGACATTTTGCATGGTTGGTCTGTAATCTGCCTTTCCTGTTAATGTCTAAACTCAGTTAAATAATCATTTCCAAGCACACACAAAAAGGAATGACGTGACAGTACTGCATTCAAGCAAATAGATTTTTTTTGGGGGGGGAGGGAGAGATTTGTATATTTACATGTATTTTAACTTTCTTTCCCAATAATAGATTTATTCTTTGCTTTATGTACAATGTAAAAAAATTGAAAGTAATAGAATTTTTGTCTCTTTCTCTCGTGTTGTCTACAGCTGTTAGGGAGGACCGAATGCCAGGGGGTCGAAACACAGGACTTTCGTACAAGGTAAGTAGTTGAATAGAAAATTGTTTTCACGTAGACCCAACACCCAAAAGCACCAAACACAAAAAACACCAAACACCTGTTTCAGTTTGAAACCCCTGTTTCAGTTTGAAACCCCTGAAAGGGCAATAAACAGCTGCACGGGAAAAGAATACTCAGTTTAGAAACAGCGAAGTCAGGGACATGTTCAAAAACAACACAGAAGCATACACCAAATTTCATTATGCCAGATGGAATGCCGAACTAAACAATGCCGTTCAAATATCATCTGGTCTGATTCGTGTTGTGAGATGAATTCTGACTAAGTATGAAGGGACAAATATCTACATAAAATATTTAACCAGAGAGAAACAATAAATATTGGACAACAGAAATAGGCTTCATGTTGCGTGGCCATGGGAGAATATTTCCAACAACCAACAGCTGATTGGACAGATTATTAGCCGCTGTTAACAGTACAAGCACTAAAATAAAAATGAGACCACCTTGGGGAAAATTAAGGGAAACTGCTCATTCTGGGAATGATTTCTGCCGGGAAACCACCCAGCCGTACACTCACAATGTCAGGACCCTAATGGTTTCCTTATTGGGAAAAGCAAAAGCCAGTGGGGGAGGGGGGGGAATATGATCTAGCCGGAATAGATGAATTGTTGACAATGCGTTGTAGGGAAAGCCCCATTCTATGCAGGACATGTACATGTATTGTCACAAGGATAAACGGTCCACAGCTTTTCAAAGTGTAGGTTCCCGGTTTGTGTGTGAGATGTATACCTTTTTGTTCTTGGTACATGTATTGGCAGCAGCTATCGGTCATCTTTTTCTTTGTCTCTCTTTGGAATGGTTCACCTCAGTACATTGGTCTGGATTCTCAAATCACCTATTCTGAGGTGGTAATTACCAGGTGGGCTGATGACTGGGGATTCATTGACGTCAAAAACGGAGCCGTCCATTCCCCTGGATGGGGGGGGGGAGAGGAAGGTTTCCGTAACACCTGCAGGCAAATCTTGTTTGAAAAAAAAATTGATTAGAAAGCAGCTTATTGAATGGAACAGGACATCAAACGAGAACAGGATGCATCAAACCTGAAGTTGAAGTTCAGGCAAATGTACAGCCATTTGCACAGGATTAGCACGATTAAAATTTAATGGTTTCATGGCATGATGGCCCAATCCTAGCAGGCATGCGCCGTGGCCATGGCGCCGCTTTTGTCTGTCCAGAATTTTAGGGAGTTAGTCATGGAGCCAGCACAAAGCCACTGAATAAATGCTGTTGTGGTCAATGATTAATGTCACTGAAAGTATCTAGGTTACGCTGGCCTCTTTGGTTGCAGTTTTGGGTAATAATTTACCCTTGATCATGCACCAGGTGCTGTCAGTTTGAAGGATAATTTTAGGGGAAGGGGGAGAAGAATTGAGTTTATCAACATAAGTGGATATCATTGCTGAAAGTCTGTATCTGGGCATAAACGTCTATATTCAAACAAGAAAAATTTTGTTTTTGGTTACTGTATGCGTTTCCTCTGATGTTTTTTATTTATGTTTTCTGGGAAAACCTGGGTGAACATTTGAACCCTCAAAAGACGTGGTTTTTCTAGTTAGGACTGAAGATTCAAAGAGACTTTATTAATTTGGATAAACTGCACACCACATGACGAAGCAGGTACTCTGTCATTAGCCCCTCCCTCCCCAACTGTTTCATAGTTTTTCCCTTCAAGCTAAATGAGGTAGAACTTATCCAGGGCTATGCCAGATTTGTAAATATGTGTCCATTGTTATGTGGGTTCCGTAAAAATGAACAGCTATTTCCCTGCAGGTGGATTCCAAATTGACATTGTTATACATCTTGCAAGGCTGAATACAGAGGTGTGTGTTATCTTCACAGAGTAAATGACGTACTCTACAGGTCCCGACAGGTGGTAAAAGTTACCCATGTAATAAGGACACTGTCACAAATTGTGCCCCAACCTGATGGAATGACTAAGTATTAGAGGCTCACTGAAACAAAATTAGAAAGGAAAGGGGGGAGGGAGGGCATGAGGCAGATCTACATTCCGCATTCTAGAAACTAGTTTTGTTGGAAACTGGATCAATAGTTACTGGATCAATAGGATCAAATAGTAAGGCCTGAGCACCAGTTGACCCTACTGTTTATGCCTGACTCCAGTGTTAGTAATGGAAACTTCAAAAAAGTTGATTGCCACATCCAGGTTATATGATCCACACGCTGTCATTCTCATCAACCTGATAAAAGCCAACAAAAATTTGCAGGTGGTTATTGCATATCAAAGTCCTACATTCACATTTGTTTGCCCTCCTAATTTGACCAGCATTTTAGTGAATGAGCTAGTCATTCTTCCATCGAGTGGGTGGTGAGGGACGTCCCCCCCGAATCATTGAACTTCCCTTTTCAACAGAAATTTATTCGTCCAATTATTTTTTGTTTGAAAAAATCCAATTGCAATTGAACTTCAAGAGGCAATTTCTCTTTTCTACAGGTAGACGGTTTCCATTTTAATGCGCATATTGGAAAATAAGTGTTGTGTTAATACGACAGTGTTTAATTTACATTGAAATGGGTTTGCATAAACATACGGTATGAGATCATTCATTTTTTTAGTCTCAAGGGAAAATGTCTCCACTGTGCAGTTTCCTAGAAAATTGCCTGTCTTGCCCAAGAAAACCAAAATCTGTGGCCTGTTGAAAGGATTTTCAGTCCATGAGTTTACCAAGCCATGTTGACGCGTGCTTGTGAAAGGGACCCCCACTGAGCACGCTCAATAGCTGTGGAGGCTTAAATGAGCCACCAGCCACTAGACTTGGCAACAACAATTGATGCCTCACTGCACGACACTGTAAATGTGATGACCTTTTATATGGATGGAAGGCGAGCTAGGGGGAAAAAGGAAGGGACAAACAAATGTGGGTGAAGCAGGCAGGCTGATGAAAGAAACCTGATCAACTGGAAACAATTCTTTTTAGTAAAAAACGGCTGACTTTATGATCCGTCAAGTGGGTGGAGCATGGATGCCAAGAACTTGAGAATATTAATAAGGTCAGGTTCCCAAGAGTACTGTATGGGTGATTTCAGAAATTAGGGGTTCATTTTTTTGGTGTCCCTGTCACATCTGACATATGATTTTGCAAGTTCAGAACGCATTTTCAAATTTCCAAGAGTGATGAATTAATGCAAATTACCTGCCAAACAAGTAGTAATAAGTTGAAATCAATTCCAGGCATATTTCCATGTCAAATAACAAGGGTTAGATGTAACAGGGACACAAATGTCACAATTTTGGACCCTGAATGTCTGGAATTACTCATATGGAAACAGTATGAAAGCAGTAATTACATACAAGCAACATTACAGAGGCAGGATGCGTTCGCATTAGACTCTATTTCAACAGATTGATCCTTTGTTGATTGTCTCACAGTGCAAACCCAAGAACTATGATAAGCTGCGGAAAAAGTTCCAGCAAATTGCCCAGCAGAAGGCTCAGCTCAGCCGCAAGAACAGGGCTGACAAGCAAGCGCTGAAGGCCGCCCGAGACTCGCTAAAGTCTGAGAAGGACCAGAAGAGCAAGAGCCCCACCCACAGCCCCGCCCACAGCGGCAACGGGAGCAGCAGCAGCAGCAACAATGGCAGCAGCGCCTGCGGCAGCAGGGACAAGAACCAGTCCCAGCTCGACGTGCGGCAACTCCGGCCTCAGACAGCGCAGTTGATTGAAGTCCTCCAGCAGACAGAGTCGGCGGTCCTTAAGATGTCCGGCAAGGAGAATGGCAGCAAGCATGGGCAAAGCCACCACCCGGTCTCGCCGCCCACCTCGGCCCCGCCCAGCGGGATGGGGGCGTCGGGGACCGGGCTGGAGGAATTCATGCACCAGCAGTGCTCCCTGGGCGATGCCCTGGTCTTCAACCTAGTCCAGTGGGTCAAGCACCTGCCATTCTTCACCCAGCTCTCGCCTGTGGAGCACACCTACATCCTCAAGACCAAGTGGCTGGAACTGCTGATCCTGTGCACGGTGGCACGGGCCATGTACTTCAAGCAGAACAGCGGGGAGAAGGTGCTAGGCTTTGAGCACTGCGTCCACCAGAACCTGCTGACGCTGCAGGAGTGCATGAACAAGACCATGGACCTCAAACTGGACATGGGCGTGTTCCGAGAAGAGATGGGGGAGGCAGTGGAAGAACTCACCCGGCTGGCGGCATCCTTCCGAACCCTCAATGTCTCCCGCAATGAGTACCTCCTCCTCAAAGTGATCATCCTGCTAAATCTCAGTAAGTCCACCAAAACCTTTCCTTTGGTATTTATCAGGTACTTACCAACTGCAGCAATGTGGATGTGTTGAAGCTTCTCAGTATAGTTTGTCAGTATTAGGTTATCCCTAACAGTCAGAGTCTTCAATATTCCAATTTCAAAATGACTTTAGTACACTTTTTGTTATTTATTTTGTTTCTCAGCTGGATTTGCATAGCACCCGTTTTTATTTGAAAAAATTTCTTTTTGGGCTTTTGCAGACTGAGTCAATAAAAATGGTTCTATGCAATCGTATTCATTTTAACACATTCAGTGGCAGGAGCTGAAGATAGCTGGTATAGCCGAATTTTAATTAAACTGACCATATAATAGTCAGTTTAAGCTGTGCTTAGAAAGATATCACTGTGTTTAAAATTCTGTCAAGATGCTCATCCAATTTCTTTGGTCATCCAAGGGATGGTTACATGTACTTTTTCAGATTGACTGGAACATTTTGTGATGCCAAATCACATAAGTAATCTTTGTCGAATTTTTGTGATCACTGTCAGGATGTGTTTAGAAACTCTTCCAAATTGTCAGTGTTATGTTGTTCAATCAATGAGCAATCTTTGTTGAGTTTATTATGAACATTGTCAGTGTGTGTGTTAGAAACTCTTCCAAAGTGCCCATCTGTCATAATAAGAGTATGTCATTGAATATGCAGTTCTGCAGTGGCAGGACTGTGAATGGACTAGACTCATTCCCTGTTCTGAAATTAGACTTAAGTCATGTCCGAAACAGGATTCCGGAGCTACGACTAGGTCTATTGTCTGCGTATTTCCAATGGAGTGAAGACCTAGACCTACATGTAGCTCTAGACAGCAGATTCAGATGGAGCATTAGTAATCTGAAATTGCCATATCAAGAACTTTGTCCTCTGTGAAACCCAGCCAGGTCCAGTAATTAGCCTAAAATTTACGTGAAGTTGCTTAATCAAGTGGTTTTGTGTAAATTTTTGGGGGGCATTCCCATAAATGGTATCCTGAGTGAGGAAATAAAAAAAGGTGTCGCTGTTCATGCATTGGCTAAAAATAAACCCACTCTAAAAATGACCCAAGATATACGTCATGGCAGCTTGGTGTAGAATGCTTAGGGGTCTGAAATCTATACCTACGGTCATTTCCCTTTTTCCTGGAGGTGAAAAACTCTGCGATTGCTACATTGTGCCCAGCCAAATGCAGTTTCCATTGTGCACTATTGTACAGTCTAGGGGACTGTACGGTTCATTCACATTTCGTAGAGCAAGAACACAGAATTTTTTTCCCCTATTTTTTTCTTGTAAGTTGAAAGAAACTGGAGAGAAAGAAGGGGATTTTTTTTTTCTTGTCAGTGGAATGACGTACGATGCACTAAATAGGCAGAGTGTGCAGTAATGTGTGCGCTGTGTGTACATGTCTTGCCTTAGGAAGTTCATTGTTAGCTTCAGTGACAGTATTTGACGGGGGGGCCCTCTGCGTAAAGTGCAGCCGAAGTGTCTTGCACTTTTCTCGAAGGCTACAATTGGCTGGCCGAGGAAGATACTCACAGGGTGATTGCCCTGCGTGGCAGGTTTCTTTTTTTTTTTTTGTTAATTTTGTTGGTTTTTCTTTCATTTTTTTTAATCCTTATTTGTGGCTCGTCTCCCTTTTGTCTTTTATTTGTTTGGTTTTTCTTTGCATCTTTCCCCCTTCTTGTCTCTGCCGTGGCAAATTTGTCGCTCGTTGCTTTTAATGTAGAGGCTTGACACCTTTGTGGACTTGCAGGACAGTGCAACATCTGAAGGAAGTTGCACTTTTGAGAAATTGTCTGCTATTTGTTTGAAAGAGCAGGAAACATATTTTCAGAAGAAAAGTTCTTTTTTTGAAGTGAAATTGATCAAATTTATTGTCAAAAAATGTTGGAACAGTTCATGTTATATCAAAACTGCTTTTTATGTATAAAGGTTCCTTCCCTGAAGGCCCCTCCAAAATGGAAGTCACTGACGAATATTTTATAATCTGAAGTAAAGGCACATTTAGTAATCTAAACAAAACCAAAATGGTGAGAGAAGACCTGGTTGTGTTCTTAATTCTGCAACTTCCATTTCACCAGCAAATAAAAGTAAAAACAAAAGGATGCAATCAATCACTTTGACACGAACATCCAAACTTCTCCTTTTCAAGTATGTTATCGCTCTCTGTCACCCAGAACTACTTTGGTTTTGATAAATCATATTTTTCCTTCTCATTTTGGGGGTTATCATTTGCTTGCATCTTCTTTTGTAGTTCCAAACATCTCTCCTAATGAAAGTTGCTGCACTGTGCAAAACAGGATGAAAAGGGGGCTGAGAGAAGGGGGGAAAAAAAACCATTGACGTGACGGCGAAGCAATATTAATGATATGCAGGGTTGACACATCCCTCTGTACTTTTTCCGTGTTAGTTGCACTTTGGGTTTGCAAGCGCAGTTCATCAGTGGGCTTAGATGCATTTTTTTTTTCATTGCATATTGCAGCATGTGTACTTTTTGCCAAACGATGCTGGGTGGAATTTTGTTCTTTCTCTCTCTGGTTTGCTGGAGAGCCGGGAGAGCAATAAATATCATTTGCCCCCTCAGAAGTTTCGGTTTTTCTTACGTGTGCATGCGTGCTCAGCCACACTTTGTTCGAGATAAACATTTCAGGGTTTTGTTTATAGGTTACTGTGTCGCCATTCCCGATCTGAACTTTCCCCAGAGTGTGGTTGTTAATATCAAAACCGTCTGCCGGCTTCCGGCTTTTGGGGATGATTCATTAATAATTAAGGAGTTCCAGTTCAATATCGGGATCATTTGGATCGGATTCATTAATATGATTAAAACATGAACAATCATTAACAGGAATACTTTAGCCATGATAAAGTCCATTCCTTGTTCAAATACGGAATATGAGAAAGCTTGCAACAGCGTGAATAATGTTGTATGTGCATGAGTTATATATATTTTAAGAAAAAAGACAAAATCTAATTTTTTCTCCCTAAAGTGGACAATTTAAATATTGGAGCCCTGCAGTAAACATAGATCTGTGAACCAGCCAGCCACTAGGGAACCAGTGACAGGAGGTTAACGCAATTACACTGATACCTGTCATTCAAAAACTGATTGGGGAGAGGAAGTGAAGTGTGGGGGGATGCTTGAAATTCAGTAGCATTTATGATTCAAAATGGTCTGCTTCACCAGATCCAAGGGAAAGGTCTGGTTGCGGCCTCTCCCTCCAGAATTCCTCCTTGTGGTAGCCCTTTGGGCTGGCCACTTGTGCCCGGTCGCCATAGCTACTGGAAGCATTGGCACTCTTCATGGATGGCGCATTAGCCAATCAGCGGCTCACGTCAGTATCAGCTTAAGAGCCTGTCACTCCCTGTTTATTCCTTCCTCTCCTTCGCTGTGTTGAGAAGACACATTATTGCTGGTCATTAACCCCTCGGCTGTCACGAATCATCCCGAATCACATCAGCCAATCACAATATGCCAGTCACTACAATTTCTCTCTTTTGTTTTAACTTCCCTCCCTCCCTCCCTCTCCTTCCCACCAACCTTACAGAAAACGGAGCTAGCAGTGACCTGATCCGCCAAGTCCAGCACCCGTACATCCTGGCCCTGCGCGACTTTGCGGAGGTGAACCATCAGAAGAGTCGCTTTGACGACCTGATGTGCCAGCTGCCGGAGCTGCAGCGGTGCGCCGAGCTGTTGTCCAAGAGCAAGCTACTTTACATGCCCTATCTGTTGAATGCCGTCGCTGGGGCCAAGTCCTGAACCATGCTGAGATTGTCCCCTCCAAAACATGTCCTCTGATGCAATGCATACATGTACGTCATTGAGTTACAAATAATGGTCCCGGATACTAATTATTAGGTCCGTGTATCTTTGGGCTCATTTTGCTTGGAATGTATACTTATGAATGGGAAGTAAAATAGCCTTGCAACAAAAGGGAATTCCCCTTGCTAAAAATAGTTATGGTACATGTTACCGGATACGGGAAAACTAAGAACCTAAAGATCATTCTTTTGTTGGGGGGGGGATGGTTTTGTTAGTGTGCATTCAAACGAGAAAGTTACCCTTCTATTTTGATTTTTCACTCAGTCTGGCACCCTATTGAAACTGGACAAGATGTGGGTAAAGTGAGAAACCTGAAGGGTGTCCATTGGTTTACATCAGCAGCATGGTGGATTGATTTGCAAAGTTAGGGAGGGCTCACCAATCTGTTACGTCCCACCTAATCGTAGGATCTGCCAAAATGGGAGGGGAGATTCCATGCCCCCCGTGAGAGAAAAAAAAAAGGGGGAGGGGCACTGGTCCCCCTTTGCTGTCGGTGAGTTTCAATTGGCAGGATTCTCTTGGAGGCCTGTGGTTCAGAAGTGGATCCGATAACTTGCGACTCATTTTGTTCGGTCGGGTCACTATTAATCTGGTTGGCATTTGGCCTGAAGGAATGTTAAAGGGGGGGGTGCCGGTATTTCTGTGTTCAAAAAGAAAGTATTCCTATAAATTAGTCGGAACATTTTTATAGAAAATACCAAAAACATATATACTACCAAAATAAATCAGTCTTTAAAATATAGTCATTTTTGTCCTGTGCATTATCAGTGTATATAATGTATTATAGTTGTCAGTGTCAAAACACTGACTTGGAAAATTAAGTATCTGTACATAATTTAAAGTATGATTTAAAGCAAAAAACTGACCTCTGAATTTTTAATTAAACAATTTTTCCAACTGTTTTTTAAAAACAGGAAGAGAATTTTTTTTTATGTAAAAGGCTGATTGGATCAACATGTGCTTGAGACTATTACCTGGTTGCCATGGTGACGTCATCTAATACAAACATTTGCAATCTTTGTGGAACCCCCACCCGCCGTAAAATTTTTGGGGAAAAATATTTTTCAGGGAAATCATATTTTTTGGTTTCGTCCCCCCTCCCTAGCCCCACCTACAAAAGAACAACTTTGTTAATAAAATAAAATTGTGGTTGTGTACTTTTGCGCGTTAAGTAAAAAGTGACAACTTTGCGTACAGACGGTTGTATGTCTTACGTCCCCCCCAAAAAAAGGAGTTGTACAATGCCTTTACAATGGTTTCCATTCACACCTTTGCCAATTCGCACTGTAGTTCTTTAAGGCACGAGAACATCTCACAAATCTTGGAGAGTTTTTCTCCTTTAAACTCCGTGTAAACGTGTGTGAAATGGTTTTTATGTACGTCTCGTGGGATTAGTACCTGTACAAAAATACTCCATTGTTGGCATTGTTCATGCGACTGAGATTTTACAATGTTGGATGATGAGGTTGATGATAAACTAGCAGACGGCAGGCCTAACATGAGTGAATTTGTGCTGGTCTCCATTTAAAAGGGATTATTACTAGCACATTTTGGTTTGGTCATGTTGCCAGCGACAATTCCACCGAAAACAATTCTATACATTAACATTTTTATTGCGTGTTTAGCATAGAATGTGCATACACTTCATAGATTTCAGCCAAAGAGAATTGTTTTGGCGGTCACTACCAGAATTATATATGTAAATTGATATATTTTTTGAGCATGTTGTGTGGTATAGATGGCAAGTCCGGGAGGTTCTTCGGCTGCTGGAGGAGAGCTTGACTGTGTTCTTGTCTCCTCTCTCGAAGGTGTATGCCTCATTTCTTACCCACCGATTCTTCATCCATATTTTTTGCAACGGGACAAGTTTTAAGAAACCATTAAGATGCCTTTCTCTCTGCTGTAGGCATGAGTTATTTTTTTTTTTTTCTGTTCTCAGCATCCAGTTTTCACTGGATGACCGAATTAAGTAGCTGTCGACTTAGCTACGTCTTGCTAAGTTGTACACTGTCATGTTTAAGATATTTTTGTCAAAGGAGGAGACACCTTTAGGGGTGATTGTCAACAGCTATAGGAAATTTTAATTGGTGTAATGATAAGAATTGTAGGTTTTTTATGTTAAGAGGGGATTTTGGGTCTTTTTTTTGTGAGGTGTGTGTGGGATTTCAAACAAAACCACCGACAGTATTTCGCCTGTATATATTACCATAAACAAAATTCATGCATTTGTATAATTGTCCTCTAGAAAATATTCTTGTGAAGAACAAAAAAAAAAGAAAAGAAAAAGAAAAGAAAAAAAAAACTAGAGTTTTGTGTGTATATGTTGTGGAGCTGGTCTCCAGTATTTAACATGGTCACTGAGGATGTGAAAAACACAGAAATCTGGAGGAAAAAAAATGGGTGTCAGCAGCATTTTTTTGGTGTATGTTTGTAGTTTGTGTTGTACAAAGAAAATTGTGTCGGTGTTTTCCAATCATTGAAATGATTGCTTTGAAGTGCTTTCTTGTCTAACGAGGGTTATACAAATTAATATATAAATATATATTACAATTACCTGGTGTTGGTAGTCGATCTTTTTAAAATTAACTTATGAGCAATGTTTTGTGGGCTGTATGTAAGATGTATTTCACATAGGATAGATTCTTTTTTCCTTGAGTCATTTTTTGACACGGTCACATTTTATGCAGCCAATCTTATTCCTGATCTTTTTATTTTTATACTGGCATGCCCTGGAACTTAACAGTGTTTCATGAAACAGTCAAAGCTTGATGGAAGTGAGCAGGATTACCCATTTGTGGGCTGGCTGTTTGATGTTTGCTCTCCATGTGATGAAAATTGAAACAGCTGTAATGTTCAACCTTGCACATTTCAGTGCCTGCAAAATCTCTGGTATACTTGGATGTCATGTTTTTACAAATGATGAAACAAATCATATAGGGAAACTGCCTAGGTGCTTATGAGTGATTAGAAAGATAAACAAACAAATCTACTTGAGCGGGATTTGAACCTGCGGCTTCTGGAACACCTTACCAGTGCTCTACCAACCGAGCTACCCAGCCCTATGTTGGTGGCTCTTCCCATTTGTCAATATCTCTGTTGGGGGGCGCTAGCCAGAAGCCATTAAACCTGAAACACCATGTAGCCAGGGATCACACCCCAGTTACACAATGCAAACGAAATAGAGTAGAGCCCTTTCCACTATCCCAGGCCATGAATGAGGAAGGGAAAAGTGGCTTTGGGTTGGCACAGAGTGTACAGACTGGTTGGCCAAGGCACATTGTATCACACATTATATATGGTCTTTAACAGAACAAAATAGAACAGACCAGTGGAAGTTTTACCCACTACACTTCTTTGAAAGCTTAGCATATTACATGGAAAGATGCTCAGCACTATTAAAGATTATAAACTCAGAATTTGAAGTCTAAGCTCCCTCAAGTCACTGAGACTTCACATGGAGTTAAGCTCAGCATCAGTTGAACACTTTGTGTAACCTGAGTACCACATTTTTGTCACTTACGATGTTCAGTGTTAAACGAATGCACACTAAACTAGGACGTGTGGATAGTTTTTATTGTGTCAGTACCAAGTTACGTGCGTTTTGGTCTCACTGCAATCTTTTATTATTTCTTGTACTGATTTGGCCGCATTTCTTCCATTCAAAAATCCTGTTGGATTTTTTAATCTCGTTCCCACCTATTCTTCATCCCACCGCTAACGACCAAGGAACTCATCGTCAGAGAAGCAATTTTTCTTCTTGTGAAGCGTTGTATTTACGTCTCGATTATTAAAGTAAAGCCCCTGGTTGTCATATGTGTTTCTATTTCAGTGCTGTGTAATATATTATGAGTATTATACAAAGTAGGCACTGTGTTGTCATGTCCAGGATACAATAAAGCAAAATAGAAAAAAAAAAGTTTCATGTGCACATGTGAGCCAGATGCGTTTTTCATTCTTCTCTGATGTTGTTCAAAACACTTCAGTTTTTCAGTCCTGCAGTATTTTTTTTTTAAAGAGGCAGTTGTACCCAAGTCAGATGTCTTTCCTCCAGCAAAAATCTAACTAGAATTGAACCCAGTTGATTTATTTCACATATGATTTATTTCACATAATGTTCTTGTTGAGCCCTTCTGTTACTCCGTTGGGGCTATAAAACTTGCGTGGAAGTCTTGCTAGTGGTGTTCTCAAGATGGCATTTTTTTTTTAAATTTGGGGCTATGGGTCAAAGGTTAAGACCAATCTGGCCAATGCACAAATGGTCTTGTCCCATCTGCAGGACATGAGTTACAGTTGGTAAATTGTCCTGGAACCAAAAAAAAGGGTAGCTTGAGTATTAACCTTGATCATATGCACACAAAATTGGGTTACAGATTAGAAGCGTGTTGCAAGCATTCAACTGTTAGTCACGCATTTTGATAGCCTGCTTAGTGGAACGCCCCCAAGCCTAAATCAATTGGATGGCAAAGGCTTCAACTTTTTTTTCTGAATTTTTGTTCACAGAACCAAATAGCTCTGATGAAATTGAGGTTTGGAAGATTGGCTGGCCAGTTGCTTGTATTGACGCAACACTCTCCATTTTGCTTTGCAGCTGCGCCCTAGTTAAACAGAATAGTTTGTGTTTTTGTAATAGTGCAGATGCTGGAGTAAAAATTGGGGCAATTTTGTGTACAAAATAAAAAAAGGAAAGAAAAAGCTTTTGCTTGCTCAGGAAACAAACTCTACCGGTATGAATCTACTTTTGTGGGAACCTCAGTTGACCTTAACAAGGCACCATATCAAAGTTCAGTGGGATTAAAGTTTTCTCCAGAATAATGCTTGTAACTATTTAATGGATAGGTCAACTCTAGGCTTCAACTTTAGTGACGTTTGCCTCTCACCAATTGCCATCTCCAGGTTTGGGCTCAAAATAGCATTAAAGTGGACTTATCAAGAAAGTGCACGACACTTTTATACTGGTGTCTCTTGTCTTGATACGGAATTTACAACATGACTATGAACAGCTATTTTAAAAATGTTTAAGTTCACACTTGCATTTTTCCACATCCACAGGAATTTTTTAAAAAATTTTATTTCATTTTTGGGGGGAACTCAATGACAGTGGAACTCCACATTCCTGAGGGAGTACAGAGCACAAAAGGAAAATGTGAGGTCACTTTGGCGAATCAGGAAATAAATATATAAAGAATGAATGTGCCTTTACGAGGAGTCTTGATTAAGAGAAAACGTGGTCACGCCTGAACCACGAGCTAACAATTGAACAGGTGACAAAAACTGTTACCCTAATCACCCTCAGCTGCTATTCCTGACCGGCTGTTCTGAAATTAACCTTTTCTGGAAGCGGTTGACTCTAAAAAAAAAAAAAAAAAGGCCGGGGGGAGGGGGAGAGTAAAAACCCTGACTCTAAGGTGTCACATGATACACTCCACACACAATTGGTACATAAAAGGTACAAGTTTATTTCCTGATCTGACGTAAACGTCCTGACTATTCCACAGAATAGGAAGAACGGCTTATGCCTTCCCCCGTAGAATGGTATCCACGGTTACCGCTCTTACGTGATGCCACGGCCAGCATCTTTGTGTGAGAGAGCCCCCTGTCTCTCATTTTTTTTTTCCCTCTTCAGTTCTGATTGTGAGATTTAACAGGAAGGCTTACTTGGTAATTGAAGACGGCAGGCACTAAATGGAAACGATTCATCGGTGCGGGACGAACTGGGAGAGGCGCCAGCAAATAATGCGCGTTTTATATATGCATGTATATATAAACCCATTGGAAATATGAACGCATCCAAATATACCGACACACTTCTATTCTCGCCGTTTTGTCGGAGGAATCTATCTTCAAACCGCAAAAACGTCACGGCCAGAACATTTCCTTCTGCAGTGCCATTGTGGCTCTCCTGTTAGAATGTAATTTGGGAAGATCTTTTGTCACTGAAGAATAACTGTGATGTATATATTTTTATTCAGTGAAGAGTCAGATGGAGTACCCTTTTCAAGGATGACTTTTTCTGTTAGCGGAACTTCTTTCAATATCAAGTTCCACGACTCGATTTATGATAACTGATTTGGGGGAAAAAAACAAACAAACTGTGTGTGTTTCCGTGAGAAAACTACCCTAATTATTTGGACACAATAGAAGATAAAGCATTTGAACAACTGTTTCAGTATTTTCACTGCTTTGCTAAATTTACTTCTGGAAAATTATATTTTCAAATGCAGAAATCAGTAAGTTTCCAAGAATGTGACAACCAATCCATACTACTTTTTGATCCAGCCAAGAACCAGTTTACAATTTGAAGTTCAAATGTGATATCAAGGTTCTGGCATGAATGAACGTTTTCTTCAAAAACTGACACCAACAGACTAAACAAAACAAAACAGAACAAAAGTAAACGAGACAAACCAACAAACACCACAGTGCATCACTGACATATGCTGTGATCAATCAATTCAAAAAATAAGCATAACAAGCCAGACGAGATTGATGGGGATACCACCAATGACCCTCTCAATACAGGACAGCGCAGTGCTAGTGGCACAAGACAAGGGCTTGAGGCTGGAAGGGGAGGGGGAAGGCTGGTGTGGAGGGTACATATGAGCATATGGACAAGTCCAACATTCCAGGCCCCTGGGTGGGGGGTGTCTGGGGGCACGTGCTCCCACAAATTCCCAGTGTCCCCTAAGGTGCCCCCCATGAATAAAAAAAAACTGATCCATGGATATTGAACAAAGCTTTCCCTCCAAAAAACACCACTGAAATCTGGTGCTCCCCGTAAGATGATGGTGCCCCCTTATGCCCCTAACTAGTAAAATCCTAGCTACATGTACACCACTGCCTGGGTTCCCTTACAGACACACACACACACACACAAGT